CCATCAGCCTCCTCCTCCTCCTCACTCATCATCCAGCAGCATCCATCTCTCCGGATGTTCACAGCCGCCTGAATCCCGCCCGGTCCCGGTCTCAGCTCCAGGTAGGACCCTCCCTTCCTTTCCTCTCCCCCCTCTCTCTCTCTCTGCTGTCATCCGGGTCGCTTTCAGCCTCCAGCCGCTCCGTGTTCGGCTCGGTACCACCGCCCAGGATCGGTGCTGCTCGGCGGAATGCTGCCTGGAGACTCGACCCAGCCCCGGAGAAATCCGCATCAACCCCCCGCAGCCTCCTGGAGACCACCAAGACCCGGGCTCTCCTCCTCTCTCAGTCCCGTGAGAGGTGGCGCCTGGTCGGGGTAATGGATGTCGTGTCAGTCGGTGTTTATCAGCTGATCTGTGCGCGCGCGCAGCGGCAGGAGTGATGTGGTCCAGATTTCAGCAGCACCACAAGGTCACGGTGAAGCTGTCGGCCGCACCGTGCCTGTTCAGGGCCACACCAAGCTCCCCTGGCCCCCCGGGGCTCGCTGTGGCCCCCAGGTGCCTGATAAATAAGAAGTATTTCAGCGAGCCACTTTAACCTGAAGCTGCCCAGAGAGTAATGGCTGCAGGCATTAAAATATGTTGTTTGTCTTTCAAAATAAAAGCCCTAAATCCATAATAAGTGTAAAAATATGCTATTTTTAAGGTACGACGAAGTATTAGGACCACACAACGAGATTTATTATTATTATTATTATTATTACAAGAATAAAGTTGTAATATTATGAGAATAATGTCATTATCACAAAATTAATGTCATAATTTTACGATAATAAATTCAATATTACAAGATTAAAGTTGTAATATTATAAGAAAAAAAGTCGTAATCTTACATGTCCATTTTCCGTTCCTCGTTTCCTCCTTATTTTCCACACACCATGTGAACAGCCATATGTGTTTATAGTCTGCGGTGACTTGGGTCACTGTTAGATTAATATGCTTTCATCCAAATTAGCTATGTGCTGACTAAATCTGTCAATGCATCCATTAATTACAAAACTGTTTCAGTTTATCTTGGTCGTTTGCACAATTTTCAAGTCCTGCTACTGATAATTTAATGCTAATGTGCTAAAAGATTAACTATTTATTTTATGCAATAGGTTAAGGGTTTAGTATTGCAACTTTAATTTTAGAATATCATGACTTTTTTCTCATAATATTATGACTTTAATCTCGTAATATTATGACTTTAATCTTGTAATATTCCGACTTTAATTTTAGAGTTTTATGACTTTAATCTCGTAATATTCCGACTTTATTCTCATATTATCACTTTAATCTCGCAATGTTACAACTTTATTCTCATCATTTTATGATTTTATTTTCATACGACTTTAATGTCGCAATATTATGACTTTATTCTTGTAATTTAAATTTTTTTAAAACAATCTTGTTGTGTGGCCCTAATACTCCGTTGTATTAAGGTTTATTTGATTACTTATGTTTATTACAGTTTCTGCATCGTTAATGTGACAGGATCTTGAGWTAAACAATTATTTTACCATCTTAAGCTGATCCTCGTTAATGCAACACTTATTTTCTTTTGTTTGGTCACCCTGGACTGATCCTCGTTTATCTCAACAGGAAGTGACGATGATGAGGAGAAAGAAATGGATTTAAGTAACCACTGAGGTGAGACATATGGGATTCCTTAGGGATTTCATCCCTGCTGTGTCAACAGCCTTCAGAAAAAAGCCCAACAAATACAAAAAAAATCAATAGTTTGTAGCCCTCTTTGACAAACAATGATAGATAAAACAATAATCCACAGATTATTTATTATTTGTTTATTATTATTTGTTCATACAGTGAGGACTAAAAGAACTGGCGGTCTGGTGAAGACATGAGCAAACACCGATGGAGTCGTCTCTGAACACCGTGGAGCTCCGGGAGCTGCGAGGAGCACGGAGAGGCCCGTCTCCAACGCCGGCCTCCGGGTCCTGGACCGCTGCAGGGTCCACGGCCCGGGGCTTTGAGAACGCCTCCTACCAGCAGGACGAGGAGCCAAAGAGCCCGCAGGAAGAGCAGGCTCCCCCGGCTGTTTCTCCACACTGCCAGCCCTCCACATCCAATGACTGTAAAGTGAGTCTAGTTCTGCTTGTGGTTAAAATTTCCTTCAATTTTTAAATTTGGGAATGAAGTCGCCACTTAGTTTTTAAAATCAGTGCTGTAATCTAATCTAATCTGCCCTTTTTGCTTTAGTTTTGCTGCTTGTCCTGTATTTAGCAACTGATCTACCACTCTGCTACTTTTAACTACAAGCTACTTGTAGCTACAGTTCTCCTAATTTTAGCATTTGGCTACTATTCTGTTACCTTTCTGCATTTACTGTAGCTGCAACATTTAGCTGCTGTTCTCCTACTTTTAGCTACTGTTTTGATACTCTTTGCACTGAGCGTCTGTTCTGCTTTTAGCGTTTTAACTATCATTTTAGTTATTTTAGCTTTTAGCTACAGTTTAGCTTTAGCTTTGACTTAGATGTTTTTTTAACTGTGGTTTTGATCATTTAAGCTTCTGGTTACTGTTCTTCTATTTTTAGCTTTTAGCTTTTGTTTTGTTATTTTGCTACTGTTTTGCTAATTTTAGCTTTTATGATCAATGATCAGTCATGGAGTTATAATTATTCTAGCACAACTATAGTTTAGTTTTAGTTTTGATTTTGATAGTTTTGTTTTTAACTAGAGTTTTGACCATTTAAACCTTTGGCTAATTTTTTCCTACTATTAACATTTAGCTACTGTTTTGCTCATTTGATCTTTTAGCTACAGATCAGCTTTAGCTCTGATTTAGCTTATTTGGATTTTAACTATGGTTTTGATCATTTCAGCTTCATTCTGTTGTTTTACCATTAGCTTTTAGCTGCTGTTTTGCTACTCTTTGCTTTTTGCTACTGTTTTGCTCATTTTAGCTTTTAGCTACAGGTTAGTTTTAACTCTGGTTTTGACCATTTAAGCTWCTGACTACTTTTCTCCTATTTTAGCTGCTGTTGTTTGCTACTGTTCCGATGTTTTGATGTTTTGAGCATTTATTACATTTAACTATTGTTCTCCTACGGTTTTTAGCATTTAGCTCCCTTTGGCTTTTAGCTACAGTTTAGTTTTAGCTTTTTTTAACTATGTGTTTTGATCATTTAAACTCCTGTTTTGGTTGTTTTAACTTTTTCGGTTCAATTTTGTTCTGAACTCTAATTGTTTTTTTAATTTATTTTAACTTTCTTCCTTTCAGCAGGTGGTCTCGCCTCAGTCTTACGATGATGATGAGGAAGGTTCAGGAGGAGGAGCAGGAGGCGCAGGAGCAGATGGAGGTCAGGACTTCACGGCGTTCAGCCCGGCTGAAGACCAGTCGGCTGACTACGGCTTCATCCTGGCTCTGGTGTTTCTGGTGAGCGGGATCGTCCTGGTGGTCATCGCCTACACCATCCCCCGGGAGGCCAAGGTGGACCCGGACTCGGTGTCTGCGCGGCAGATGGAGAAGCTGGAGATGTACTACGCTCAGCTGGGCTCCCACCTGGACAAGTGCATCATCGCGGGCCTGGGTCTGCTCACCCTGGGGGGGATGTTCCTGTCGGTGCTGCTCATGGTGTCCATCTGCCGAGGCGAGATGTACCGACGCAGGGCTGCGTTTGTCCGGCCCAAGAGGACTTACGGCTCCGTCAACCTGAGGTTGAAGCAGCTGGCGACCGGAGAGGCGGGAGGAGGCGAAGGCGGGGATGGAGGTGACGGGTTTCTGGTGGAACCTGCAGAGATGCAGGACCCCAAATCTGAACCTGGACCAAGCAGACAGCTTCCTGCTGCTGCTGCTTCGACTTCAGCTGCTGCATGTGGAGTGTAACTGAGTCAGGGCCCTGTTGCATTATGGGTACCCAGTTCTGTGCCCACAGAGGAAGCACATTGTTAGCACACAGKTTTCAGCTGGAGGGACCCGCCTTTTATCCCAGCTGAGACGAACAGAACCCAAAAAACTAAAAGATATTTATTCTAACCGAACAAAACGGATGTATGACTTCACAACATAGGGCTGGAAGAGTTAGAGGATGATGATGAAGGTAAGACTTTGGCACATTCAGAGAGGATTTAGTGCACATCAAAAATCTGAGTCTAATCAAAAACACTTTCACAATAAAAGCACATTATTAAAAAGAAGCACCGTAGGGAGATTGACACTTATTTTGAAATGTTTGATTTTCAAACTTCTCAATATGATATYAACAGTAGCTTTATTCTGAAAACTTGCATAAATAACAATCAAATATACCTAATTTGGCTATACAGAATGATAGTTTGTATAAATCTACGGGAAATACGATATAATTATTGAACTTATTCAGTGTGATGTGAGCAATTTTAAGTTATTTTCACTGCCAGCAATAAAGATAAATAAACAACCTCCTAAAATTTACCTAAAATGTTGCAAAAACACAACAAAGCTGCATTAAGTACTGTATTTTAATAAACATACTTACTGTAGGTGGCACAGCTGATTCTGTATTTAAAGGAGCTCTGAGTGTTTTCATCTGGACGAAGCCAAACAAAAAGTTTGCTTTAGAGAGSAACAAACCTTTAATAACTCACCGCCTGCTTCTCTGTTTTCTATATAAACTGATGTTATTTATGTGGTGTAAGAGTACAATATGCCTTAATGAGTTATCACACTGTAAATTGTCTATACACTTATAATAATATGCTGATGTATGCCAGTCTGTATATTGAGCCAGTTAGCCAAGGACCGTGTAGCCACACACACACACACACACACACACACACACACACACACACACACCTCGCATTTATAACTGAGCAGGTGCTTTAATTCCCACACCTGAAACTCGCTCACTGATTCAACGCCGTTCTGCTGCTGAACTTCTTACAGCCCAGTTTGAATTCACACACAGGGATGCAGGATTAGAAATACTTGGATCCATTTTGTGTTTTTTTTTTTTAAGTCTTTTTGTTTTTAGAGCTCAGTAGCAACAGAACGGGTCGTTAAAACAAACATCCGAGTGAGGAAGAAGGAAGGCGGGGAACATTTATGATGAACGTCTGTGATTTAAATCGAAGGTTATGTCATGTAAAGTCTGAAGAAATTGCAAAATAACTAACTTGTGAATGTTTCGCCGTTTGAATATTCTTTGCAACTTGCAGTGTTTTATACAAAATAAATAAATTAATAAACTGACAACAATTATTTTATTGGAAGTATTTTTAATTTAACTAAATATAACCATAATTGCTTAAAGGTAATCATTGCAAACTATTAAAATCAAACAAAAATTACATCATGTGTTGCAGTTTGAATGTTTTTTTTTAAATTTTAATAATTTTGCAGTAATTACCTTTAACCAAAATAAACATTTAAGAACCCTTAGAAGAACTTGTAAACTTAAAGAAAATAGATGTTTATGTTTAAAAAAATATTTATGAGCCAGAGGGAGCTGCTACTTGTTTTTTTCTACTTGGTAGTTATTCAGGGGCGGAGCTAAACTTTTTGGTAAGGGGTGGGTTTTGGGGGGGGCACATACAGATAAAGAAAAGCACACTTCATGATGGCCGGCACAGCCAGTTCCAAATGCCTTTAATTCAACCGTTTTAAGGAATTTGATGATTAGTGTGAAAGTAGCCGAAAACTATCTTTACTTAATTCTAAATGCTAATTACAAATTCAAGATGGCCACCACAGCTAACTTTAWAAGGTTATAAATCAGCCATTTTAAGACTTGTTGAGAWAAAATTAGTCGTGGAGAAGCTAAGAATAATTACATGCTGATTACAGATGTTAATCCCAAAATTAGGCTAACCACTGATGCTGATGCTAATTTTACAAAGGGCTATAATTCAGCCATTTTTAAACATACATAGCTAAAAATTTAATATAGCTCATTAGTATTAGAGAAAATTTTTAACAAAATCTACATGCAAATACAAATTCCAACATCCTCACCTACCAGTTATTCGGGGGTGGCACCTGGGGGTGGCCAATCAGATGCCACCCCAGCCACCCCTCTAGCTCCGCCCCTGCAATTAAATAATTATGTGCAGGCGTGGCCCATTACCCTTTTTTTTTTTAAGTGACCAATATCGTCTGACTAATCTGTCCATATGTCATTTTATAAAAACAGATTCAGGCTCATCTGATTTGTTTTATTTATTTGGTTGCAGGTTTAATTCCGGCTGCAGTTAATCTCTGCTTGAAGTGTCCCCGAGCATGAAACAGAACAAATTTTAAAAATGAGGAAATTGTTTAATTGCCTTAAACAGTCGACTTTGAAGTTTCTGGGTTTTGTGATCTGAAAGTGAAAAATGTTTTGTCAGCTCAGATCATCAGCGCTTGTGCTTTTATTTTGTTTTATTTTCATTTTATTTTTTATATTTTTTTACCAATGACAATGACTTCTGCTGTGATTACACTCATTTTAATGTAAACATGTAGAAATCATGGACTCATTTCTTGTTTGTTTCCACTCAGAAAAAGCCAGAATAAACTGTCATCTGTGACCAACTGCTCTGTAAGAAATTTAAGATTGGTCTTTTTATTTCCATTTGAGACATTTCCAGCTTTGTCATTGTCAGCGCTGCGTGAACCTAAACTGAATGTTTATGCAGGGATTTAATGTGGCATATAATCAGGTTTTCAGAGGACTATAAAGTATTTTAGTTCATTTTATTTTCATTTTAATAATACTTTTTAAAAATAAATGCTTTTCTCCCTGCAAAAAGACATAAAAAATGAATCATACATTGTAAAAAAGTGCTAATTTATGAGACTTATGAGAACCCTAAATGTGTTTTAGACTGAGATGTGCATCGTAGAGGTCAAAGGTCAAAATGTTATTTTGCTGTAGTCCCAGGAGAGCGGCAGAAACCGGTGCAGGAGCTGTTTTTTTTTCTGTGAGGTGGAGATGAGGCGCTGCTGTGTGACATGAGGAGATTCTTGATTCTCGCCTCGTTAAGGTGAGAAAARAACAAAAACGAGGTGCGGTTCAGTTGTTTTAACGAGATTTTATAAATTACTTCTGAAAAGGTGTGACTTTAACTGTCAAAATAAAAGGTTTAGACACAGATTTTACAGTTTGGAAGTGATCAGACTTACTTGTTGTTRGTTTAGTATTTGATTAATTTTATTTAATTAAGACGTAGGTAAACAGGAGCACGAGATTCTTAGAAAACACATTTCTTTTCTCTCTGGCAGTTCTCCAGCAGCTCTGCTCTACTTCAGAGGAAAATGAGTTCATGTTTAAACACAGAAACAGTCGGTTATAAGAAACAAGAGGACAGATTAGGGGGAAAAAGGATGTAAAGTGGTTTTATAAAAGTATATAAATAAATAAAAGCAGGTTTGTGTGACTCATGTTTGAATGTCAGACAGGAGCACCTTGTCCAAAAAGACCTGAGAGTAAATCAATCTTCATTCAGCCGATGACTCTGTGACCACAAAGAGAGACTATTTATACCCCCGACTGTTGGTGAAGCAGGTCTCAGATGTCACACAGAGTCCTTGTGAGGACAAAAACTGAAGAGGTGACTTTCTTAAATCCTCTGCTTTCTCTCCAGGCTCCAGGAAAGTGCTGTGATTTATCATCATTCTGTACACATAATGAAACAAACCTGGTCTGAATCTGACCCATCAGACACACCCGGGTGGATCAGCAGGCAGATACAGTATTTGAGGGGAAAAAAAGTGCAGATCTCCTGGTATGGTTCAGGTTTGAAAAGTAACATTTTCAACTTTCAAAATAAAACCATCAACACTACAATGTGACAAAAGTCTTGTTTTAAAATCTGGGTGTCAGTGTTATCAGTGTGCATTGCCAATGCAATGCACACTGTTGTGATTTGTTTCCCATCCAAGTCATCTCAACTATGCCATGCTTCTCCTCCTCCATACTTTGTCCTAGAGCTGCCATTGTAATTTATATCTGTAAAGCCCCTGTGCCAAATGATTGCTATGCTTTTGGTGCCTGTAAAACTTATAGTTRATGAAATATTAATGTTTAATGAATTATAATGGCAATCAATGGAGCCTTTTATTGGTCCAAAACTGCCCCATGTTGTACTCACCTTGGTATTGCACCATAGTTTAATATTTCAACTCAGTAGTTCAGTGTTTACTATACTAATATGATTGTATTTTGATGTTTTACAATAATATTGTCTTAATACTGCTCTATTTTTGTAATATTATGCAGTTTAGTGTCAATAATTGTATTGGCAAGGTAAACTCTTTCTGCATACATACAATCCAAGCCCTGGGACTGTCCTCTGCCACAGCTCCTATAGTGTCATGGTGAACACTGTGGGATTTCATTCAGGAGATCAGAGTTCAATCCCAGCTATAAACAAACTGTTTCAGTAAAACTACATAATTTCAGTTTGTTATATTGTCACACAACTACCCTCATTACAAACACCTGCTGACTTGGCAGGTGTTTGACTGATAATAATTAGAAAACACATTTGAACTTGGTCACACTTCATTTTGTAAGTCCAATGCTGCAGGCAATAACATGCTATACATGGCAATGCACAATTGTTTTTACATCGTAAAACCCATGTCTAGTTTATTGTCTTCAATAGAAATGTTATTTGTGAATTTATACCTTAAAAAATCCTTACCCAGAATAAATTGCCCATAAATTGTAAAAAAAAATAACTAAAAAGACACGGATGTTGAAACTAAAACGTTTTGCTTTAATTTTTGACAATGTAAGAAACCATTTAGAACATTTTAAACACTAAATTTGAATTAAAATTGTAGTCTAAGTTCTATATTTCACTGATATATTATCAGAAAACATCAAACTTTCATTTGCTCAAATGCACAATAAATTAAATCTGTGTGCCGATATTAAATCAAAACAACTGTTGGCACATTTTGCTTTGTTCCCTTCTGTGTTCTGTCTCTGCCATTTTATTTTTTATTTAGTGTGCAGGGATGAGTCATGATTTCAGAGAAATCTTCCGTCAGGATGACTCATGATCTTCACAGAAAGATGAAATCTTCTTTGTGTTCCAGCTCAGGTGCAGCAGCTGCTCCCACCTTCTGCATCAGAGGAGAATACTTCTCTCATTAAATTAAACACATCAGGTGGACGTATATATATA